TCTTTGGATCTGAAGGCCTATTCTTTCTCTTAAAGGCTCCATCTCCTAGTAGAGCTCTTCTGAAAAATTAATCCATGGTAAATGAGCTCATACATCCTGAGGATAGAATTTCCTTTACCCAGTTCCTTATGTTGTATTTATGTGTTGTCACTCACTTCTAAACTCTCCACAGTTCACTAGCTAGGCCTTCATTCTACATGGTCAAATAATGATAGGATAATTATCACTATCTTATAACTTTTCAGACTTTTGGACCCTATCACTTGGATGGAATATTGTGACACTATGTAAGCTTCAGATGATACGATGCAGATAATATAAACTGATGAATACCCATTGAAGCTTTCTGAGATTTCTGTTAGTAAGTCCATTTTCCATAAATACATCTACCCTGTAGACCAGATTACAGTTTCTTTGCCTTATTTACCACAATTACAACTCTGCCCTCTTGCAAGTCACTGTTACAGTGTGTCACAAACAAGGATATTTTACATTACATTAATACATACTGAAACTATTTAACTCTATTACTTGTTGGGATAAATAGTATAACCATCCTACCTACAAAATAATATGAAAAAATTATGCATGGAGCAACAGAAGTATTTAGATATAAGTCTAAGTGGAAATCCCTGCTTCTTTGCAAACTGTGTACTCATTAGCAGAAACTGTGATTCATAATTTACAAATGAACAAGCCCCAAATGTGCTCAAGATAAAATACTTTCTCCTTGACCTGCCTCCATAACCTTGATCATATTTCAAAGAAATGGAGTTAAGTATACTTATATCCCAATGGACAGTTTTAATTTAGGGCCCAGTAAATAGTTGGGCTGCACTTACCCCTCACAGGAGTATTTAATAGTTTATTCACTAGCTACTTTAACAAAAATACCCTGAAAAGAGAAACTAAGGGTACTATAGGTTTATTTTAGCATAGTAGTAGATCATAGAAGAGGAGTCACAGAGACTTACAGGACATTGCTGCACTGTATCTCTAGTCAGGGACAAAGAATAATAAATGTATGCATGTTAGCAATCAGCTTAATTTGTCTTCTTCTGTACAGTTCAGTATCCCCTGCCAAGGAAACAATATGACTCACAGTCATCCAGCCACATTGTGGAATCAAGAATATAACCATCCTCACTATATAATGATGTAAAAAAGCAACATTAAAGCCAGGTGTTGGTGGCACACATCTTTAATCCCAGCACTCGGGAAGCAGAGGCAGGTGGATCTCTGTGAGTTCGAGGCCAGCCTGGTCTACAGAGCCAGTTTCAGGACAGCCTCCAAAACAATACATAGAAACCCTGTCTCGAAAAACCAAAAAAAAGCAACATCATTAAGATAATTCACTACAGACATGTTCAGATGCCCAGCTCCTGGTGATTCTAGATGGCAACAAGTTGCCAGTTTAATTTTTATTGATTAATGCCAGTGGAGTAAATCTAGTGACTTTGGAGTAGGATACAATTGCACTGCTTAAGCTAGGAGGATGTGTAAATAAATTCTATTTAGTAATTTAAACATACCATGATTAAATTGAAGTCTAATTCCTCATCTTTTCTAATATCTATATTGAATATCTAAAGCATCAGCATATCTAACTTTTGAGGTATCTTGGGAAGCTAATTTTCCTTTGTGTTTTTTTATGGAATGCATGTATAAAAGTCATTTGAAGAGTTTTTCATAATGCACATTATAAATAAAATCATATTTATATGTATACTTACATACACTAAAATACTATTTGATTGAATATGTTAATCACATCTACACTGTGATAAAACAAACAGATTCTGCCTCTACTCAAAATAAAATGATCTCCTTCCCAGAACGAATTTATAGTTTTGTCTGTGCTGTTACACACTGAGACTAATATTGGTTAGTCATTTATCTTAAGTTACCTATATTTAAAATGCCACATCTTGGATTTATACATAAATTATTTAAAACCCAAATGAAATAAGTTACATTGATTTTTGTCTCACATATTATAAAACATAGATGACAAAATAACTCTTGTACCAGAAAAAACAGCATATAAGAAAAACATATAGTTGGAATGTCAAATAACTAAGACTTCAATATCCTGTACTTTTCTATTTATGTATTTTAATACACACACACACACACACACACACACACACACACCTCTAAAATACAGGTTGCTCAAGTAAGTTATTCAGAACTCAGCAAATGTACCCAGATTAATTGCTCCAAACTTGTCTGACAAGAACAGATTATCTGTACAACTACTAACCTAACCTACTATGATGTAAGGTCTGTGAAACCTCTTAGGGGCTCAAAGTTTCAATGGGAAGAGAATAAATATAGGAACTGAGCTGAAACCCATGGGATCTTATCATGAGGAAGATGATGTTGGAGAGAAGTGAGCCATCTGGGTTTCTAGGAATCTTCATAACAAAAGGAAACACTACTTTGAATAAGAGAGTTTTTAGAAATTGTGAATAATATTCTAATCATTAAATATATACCTACAATGCTTCTTAAACTCGTTTAGTAAATGGTCCAGGTGTTGCCACATAAAACAAAACTTCTCCTACTTCTCAGCCTAATTTGCAGTGATATGGATTCTCTCTGTGTTTTTATTATAATAAACTTTTCTAGGCATGTATCGATAGATTGAGTAAAAAAAAATCAACAGAACCTTTTCTTTCAGATTTTAGGATTCTTGGGAACAGGGATGGTAATCTTTCTACTCTCCTTTTTGTCTTTCATCTTTGAATTTTTTTTTGAGTTTTAAAAGAATTGCATACATGAGTGCAGATTTTTGCATAATTTCTGCTCTCATCCCTCCTCTCTCCAACTTCTCCCATGTCTCCAATCCCTCCCAAATGCATTGCTAATGTGTACATGTGTTGAGGCTGATGGCCTGGGAATGGATAGCCTATCATGGGATCCACTCTTGGAGAAATCTGATACACATCTCCTCTACACCTATTGATTGTCATAGCTCTTCATTTCAAGGCCAGGGAACTTGTAACATCCCCTTTTTGCTGCATTCCCCTTTCACTTTTTCATTAGCATGTCAAATGGGGTTGTCATTATGCAGGTCTTATTTTGGCAAATGGATTTTTTGGATTTCATATGTGCTACTTCTCTGACACCTATAAAAGGCAGTGTCTTTCCACATGGATCCTGGTCCTCTGGCTTTTACAACCTTTTCATCTCCCTTTCTGTAATGTTCCCTGGACCTTACGAATAAGTACTATGTTGTAGATGTATTAATTGCAGTTAAAAACCCTACAGTCACTTATTCCCTTTATTGTAACCAGTTATGGGCCTCTGAAATCATCTCTTTCTGCTGCAAGAAAGAATTCCTTTGATGAGAGTTGAGAGTTGTACTCATCTTCACTAGGCTTATAGTAGCAGGCTTGAATTCTCCCAGATTGAAAAGGTCATAAGTCCAATCAGGCAGCTGTTGGTTACCCTCAGATAAAAGTGTCACTATTGCACCACTGGGGAAATCTTGCCACGCCAGTCATTTCCATATTTCATAGGCTTTTCAGCTGGGTAGGGTTAGGATTGCCCATCTCACTTGGAAGCTTGCTTGCAATCTTCAGACACTATGAGAGCCAGTCCTCGGGAAGAAGGCTTCCAGGTCCTTTCCAGCTTGATTTGTGCAAGTCCTGGGCTCAAGGATGTGCTGCATTTAGCAGTGGTGATTTACATTCTCATTCTGGTAGACAATCAAGGGCAACAGCAATAGCCTATATTATTTTTGGAATCTATTGGCTCCCCCTGGCCAACAACTCAAATGGAAGTTTTCCATGGCTGGCATTTGAAATTTTGTGACAAAATCTGTGTATCATGGGAGAAGTATTATCATTCTGTGTGGCATAACTCCACACACATATGTATATATACATGCATATATATATGTATATGTAGTATTTGTATGTATTTTTAGGTAAGCATGCATGATAATATATTGCTGTATAGATTTTCAGATATCCTTAGTCTTATTTATTTCTCTACCATCCTTTTCCCTTTGTATTAACATCTTTACCTAGTACAAATATCTTTCCTGTTTTTTTCCTCTTTCCTTTTCCACTGCATCCATGCCATACTATCCTCATCTCTAGAAACACTTCTGTGTATTATTTCTTCTTGACTTCGGTGAAACCCACATCAATTCCCCAGCACCTACCTACCTGCTCTCCTGGCTTCTGCAGTTATTTCTATTATATACTTAAATGTAGATTTATATTTTTACATTTGTATTCATCCATGTACAGAGTTTGTAGAATTGAGATTTTCTCTATGTTAATGAACAATTGGTGACAGGAGCAGGGATCATGGCAGCACTGCACATTACTGTAGATGTTAGAAACACTGTATGCCTGTATCACAACATTCATAAAATTTCTTTCTTCAGTAATAAATAAACCTTTATTTATGGTAAGTTTTTGTCTCATAAGCCTTTAATTTTTTTAAGTTTTGACTTGTTTGAAATAACATTTAACTTAAACCACAAATGCATTTCAGTGCCATGCAAGTAAGTGTCTTTTCCTTTTCTTAAAAGTACTGCCATACTGTGTACATTATTAGATGTACATTGTGTATCTGGACAGAGGTTAGCCAGAATTTCAGTCTTTTTGAATTTCTCTAGGCTAAACTTAGAGAACTGGAGTAAGTACACTAAAATGCTTGTTTTCAGGAAGAAACCAAACATTTCTAATTTCACCCAAGGTAAAAAGTTGTGTGGAAATTCCTGACGAAAGTAGAGGAATTTTCAAACTCACTTCCTGAAGCATCTGCTACAGAAGCATAATGAAATGGCTTGTGTGTAATAGTTTATATATTTTTACTTTATTTATCCAGGCATGGCACTAGCATGGCTAGTGGCTCAGCCAGGTGAATTCAGATGCTACAATTCCTGCATCTCTAAGGCTATTTTCCTCTTCTCCTTGCAAAACTGAGTTATTGCAGCTGACTACACTTCCCATAATCCTTCTCGGATTTCATTCTACTCAGCTAGCTCATTTTTATCTCCCTCCTTGGAATCTGACAGGCCAGAAAGAGTTCTGATTTCAAAGGGATGCTTGCTTGCCTTCTGTCCTGATGCCATCTAGGATTGTAAATGCTCAGTGTCACACTGCTGAGTGGAGAAAGGTAAGACAATTTATTACAGGTTTTTATAGTTCTATTTCTTAAGCTTTTGAAGAAATGGTGTGTCTTCTTTTCATCCGATGTCTTTGTCACTGTTTTTGTTCCATCTCTGCAAATCAAAATGAAAAAACATTTTGGCAATAGTACTCGTATGTGCATTAGATTTGTGACATTAATATGATTACAAAGAGTTCTCAGATAAATATCCCTTAAGACTACACAGGACTCTGAACACAACCAAGTGAATTGGGAAATAAGATTTGCACAAATGAGTTACCTACTAGAAACAAAAGCAGTAAGTTGCTATTTTGCCTGATATATGTGCCATCATATTAATAGAATGACAGATGCTTTTAAATTACATAGAGGCTTACTTTATGCATAACTAACACTACCTAACCAGTATTATTAATACTTCATTCTCAAATTATTACATGTTAGGAAGTACTTTTTCACACTTTGCCAATAGGATCTTAATATAAAGTCATATTAAGAAAAATCTCAATTAATTATAACAAAATTCATTACTGGGCTAATAAATATCTTTAAAAAACTGACTATTAATACTAGTAGATTAACCGTATTTCTCCAATAGTGTGATTGTTCTTCTGGCTTAAGCACGTGCATTCAAAATTGTGCTTGACTACTTCTGCCTGGGATTCACATAAAACTAGTATGGCAATATGCCATGTATGTGGTTTACATGGCTGCAAATTATTAAACCTATTTTTAGCAATTAACACAGTTCCTCTGAAAAGAATTAGGTACATGCATCATTTCTTTTTAATACAAATCTGCATAATTGGAATAAAATGCAATTTGATCTATTAAGACAAAATTAAATGCAAAATATTTTAATATAATATAGAGTACAGAATTCTGAAGTTGCATAACTATCTAATGTGTGGTCATTTTCTTCTATGCTTCTTTCTCAAAGCACAGAGGAGAAATTCCTTAAACATAGTCCAGGAAGAGGGAATATTAAGAAACAATGAAAGCCACAAAGAATGCCTGAGGTGGTCAAGGCTGCACCACCTCTCCAGTCAAGCAGAAAACTCGCATTTGTATGTAACTCCTTTTTAAGCCTCTACTCTGACTTCAACATTGTACATAATTAATAAGATCACATTGAACCACCCAGATTAATTGTAATTAGTTTCTAAGCAATAGGTGGCTTTTCCAACTCTTAATGGGAGAATCTTCTCTATATGAAGTTTCCTGCATCTGGGAAGTGAGCAAAGTGGGACTCCCCATGATCTGTTCTGATTCAACTCCAGTGTGCTATTTATAAAATCATGTCACTCTATTCAGAGTTACAATACTTTTCTTTTTCTGCTTAAAATTGTAGCAGTGCCTACAATACCAAGTTCTAGTGTCATACATTTCTCAGGACCTCCAATTATTCATCCTTACTTCTTTTAAATAACGGTGATACATATAATTTCTAGTATTTTTAATGCACAGGAAATAACATAATTGGAAGAACAGGTTGTCATAACCTAACTTCAGTGGAATTCCAATGTTTCCACTGGTAAAGTTGAGCCAAATCTAGTATTTTGTGTTCAGACATCTGTTCATAACGTTCCATTGTGTTTCAATCTTTGCTGTGTGTATATCCCCTCTATAAATTTACTGAAGAAATTTATCCAGGGTCTTAGCATTGACTTTGGTCTTCTGTTCTTTGTTCATAACTTTGTACTCTTTTTTCTCGCTTAGACAGAATTCCTTGCCACTTAGCTAATTACCTTCCACTGTGTGCCTTCTCATTTTCCCCAGCTCTTTAAGCCCAAATTTAAACACTAACATGTTTACATTTTGTACAGCATAGTGATACAAAAGTGACTAACTGTCAATAAACACATTTCCTGAGAGCATTCATGGGAATGACAAAAGTAATTAATTGTAAAACAATGCATGTTGTCATCAGCACTTGATTTCTTGTTCTAAAGGATAGGTTTGCTGTCAGATATGTTTCCTATGCCAGCTATTTCACCAACAACAGACTTCCCCCAAAGATCTTTACTCATTTTCTGAATACCTTTGGCTCACATCCAAATTGTTTAAGAGTTTGCAAATTTGGTTCTAACTTCGAGCTCTGCTGCCACATCCATGCAGGATGGAGCTGGAGTCACAATCCACTTGCATGGCAGTAGGACGTGTCTTAACCAGAAGCAAAGGAGCAGCTGTGGTGATGTTGCTCCTGTATCAGGAATGGACAGCTTCAGCCTACTCTCTTCTTCTTCATATGCTCTTGCTTTCTTTCTTCTTCAATCATAACCCGTCTTTGCTTTTGAAATTAATTCTGACTTGGCTGTGATAGTATGTGTGAAACCTTCTTGAGAAAGTTATAGCTACATTAAAGGTCTAGTCAAAATTATCATCTGCTATTTTTCTACTTTCAACCAATCCCCAGCTTCAAGACACTGAAAATTTATTTACTTATGTATTATTTATTTATTTATTTATTTACTGCTCTGGCCTGCTATTGGCAGAATCTGTAATTGCTAAATTGGCAGACTGAGCCAGGAATAAAGTATCTGCTCTGGCCCATAGGCTGGCTTGACTGGTTGTTCTTTTTTTTAGGAAATAGTAATCAGATAGATATCACCTTGTGGTGGCTCATTTTTGTCATCTTGTCAAATAGAGTCACCAAGGAAGAGGACTCGCAAGTGAGTAATTGCCTCTATGAGCATGTCTGTGGAACATTCTGGTGATCCATGATGGATGTGAGAAGCCATAGCCCACTAAGGGAGATTCTAACCCTGGGTGTATGAGAAAGCACACTGATTAGTCCTCTTTGGTTTCTGCCATGCGTTTATACCTTGAGTTCCTACCTTGGCTTCCTTGCATGAATAGTGGAATAAAACCTGCAGGTCAAATAAATCCTTTTCTCTTAAAGTTGGTTTTGGTCAGTGTTTTATCATAGCAACAGAAAATAAATTAAGACACATCCCAAGGCTGCCTACTTAATTTGGTGCATAACAATACTTCCAGAAATCATGAGCTATTATAATGAAAGAATGTACTCTGAAGCCATACTGTTTAGGTTCTAGGCACAGCAGTGATAATCACAAGTTGTCTGACACTAGATAACTTACTTAGCATCTTATTACTTTGGTGTTCCTACCTGTAAAATGAGGATAATAGTTTCATTTTTATAATTTTTTTTGGTTTTTACGAGCCAGGGTTTCTCTGTATTGTTTTGGAGGCTGTTGGTCCAGCCCGGCCTCGAACTCACAGAGATAACCTGCCTCTGCCTCCAGAGTGCTGGAATTAAAGGCGTGTGCCACCACTGCCCAGCCTGTAATTATTTTTATTAGAAGTGAATTCATATAACATGTGGCAAAACATGGAAAATTGCCAGTGTTTAACAATTCAGTTGCCATTGTTTAGTTAATACTGGTTGGTTGAGTGAATATGAATAAAAAAGTAATTCAGTTATCCTTCATATGGAAAATACCTTGCTTGTTAAGATGTGCTATTACACACATTTGCATAGTTCATATACTTTATATGAGGGTGCTGGACTACATGTGTACAAAGTTGGGGTAAAAATAACACTCATTAGAGAGACAGATTGGAGTAGGTCAGATTTAAAGGTTGCAAGCAAAACTACTGTAACTATTATTTTTGTGGTTTGTTCCCCATGATTGCCAAAATCATGCCCATGTTAATAGCAGAAGAAATTAAAAGAGTTTGTGTGTTATGTATTAAAATACCCAGGACAGAAAAATGTATGAATCAAAGCTAGACATTGAAATTGAAACTCACCCACATAGGCCTCATATAAAAGAGATATTCTTCATATGAAGGATTTTCATAGAAACAGTTAACTGGGTCTAATGACAATTGGAGAATTGCTGCTGAAGTTTTCTTGTCCCGCTAAGCCCCACTACTTTAGCTCCAAATGAACAAACAGAGACTTATATTAATTACAAAACTGTTGGCCGATAGCTAGGGCTTCTTATTGGCTAGCTTTGTCTTAATTATTAACCCATAACTACTAATCTATGTATTTCTACATGGTCTTTGCATACTGGATAATGCTCAGAACTGTTACTCCTTTGACTGCTACAGGGCATCTCTTGTCTTCTCTCTGTGCCTACCTTTCCCAGAATTTTCCTTGCCTCCTAGTCCTGCCTATTTTCCTACCTCTACTAGGCAAACAGTAATTTATTCATCAACGAACAGGAGAAATACATATACAGAAGGACATGCCCCATCAGAGAAATGAAGGAAAGCCAACACTACTCAATATGTAATGCCTTGACATACCCATTTAAGATGGCTATAAATCCTTTCTATCTCCCGAAATGTCCTAAACTTGTCATAAAACATACATTTTAAAAATGCATTTTGAGCCGGGTGGTGGGGGCACATGCTTTTAATCCCAGCACTCGGGAAGCAAAGGCAGGAAGATCTCTGTCAGTTAGAGGCTGGGTTGGACTGACAGCCTCCAAACAATACAGAGAAACCCTGTCTCGTAAAACCATTAAAAATGCATTTTGAGACAGGGTTTCATTCTGTTTTCCAGTCTGGCTCTTTCCCATAGGTGTACATCCCATAAGGACTTTAGCTGGCTTGCTCATGTTCAAGGCCTATGATATCAGTGGTGGGGAAATGTGATAGGTAGCACTGGAGTGAATACTAAGGCAAAGAAAGGGATATCAATAGAGTTTTAATGTTTAGCTCTGGGGTTCCATAGTTAGAACCCCAGAATGTCATGTAAGATCCTGATAACATCTCACAATAGCAAAGACTTCAGAAACCTTTGGGATAGACCATAACAGCTACTGTGGAACACTTGCCAGAAAAGAGTCAATAAACACTGTGTCTTTCAGAATAAGCTAGTACCCATGGGGGAAGGAGATATCCAAGATCACAGCTCAGATATGAGACAGGAGTTTAAACTGGGGGAAAGTAACATTCAATAAGCAAAAATAAATTACCAGAGAATTATGGAATCTTTCAAGGAAATTCTTAAGGAATAAAACTAGTTTTGA